AACGCCTTGCATGCTTCGCGCTACGATGCTCCTTCTCTCTCCTAGCTACACTTAAGCCCACTTCATACAATGATTCCATTCAACAGACAGCTCTAATGAACAAAGAAAAACAAGGTATTCACCTTTACGTTCCTGACAAGAACCTTCTTGTATCCACAAGGAAGGACAAATCTTGTTCTCCTGTCCGATCCGAAACCGATTGTTGGCATAGCGCGCATTCCTCGGAAGCGTCGGCGAACACGATTATCAATACCCTTGGGTTTGCGCCAGTTGGGCTTCAGGCGGTGGTACCTAGAACTCGTAGATCACAAACCCGCCAGACATCAAATACGGAGTATTCTCCCGCTATAAATTGCGACAGCAAAGAAGTAATTAAAGTTTCATCGAATACCAAGCGAACACAAACCTCTCAGACTCATGTCTCTTGAACTTCGTCACCTTCTTCTTAACAATCTTCACCTTAGTACCGGAGAACGGTCACCATTCTTACCCTGAAACTTGTTACAATATGAAATAGTTTTGCCATACAACATGGAATGAAGAGACGTTCAGTTCTGTCAGCAACGAAACGCCAAACCAGAAGGAAACACGCTCTACAAGGTGACTATCCCGTACCAGACCAAGTGAACTGTGCAACACCCTTCAATAGCCCACCATATTAAATAAAACAACGACTACACCTCACTGAAACACGTCAGGAGCGATACTGAGAACAGGAAGTGTTCTCAGCTTCACAAAAAAAAACACAAATTAGAACGGCGGGACAAACAAAATGAGCGGTAAAAGATTGGAAGCGCATAAATCCATTTTATTCTCAATAAATTTGTAAGTTAAGTCAAGTCATTTGTCCTAGTACCGAAGTTAATCGTCTGATGAAACAAAATTGAAGAGCAGGGTAAGCTCGGAATTACAAATTGAGTCGAGCATATAGCTGCAGTAAAACTACAGAGCAGTCGTAACTGACTTCTTTAAAGAAGTGTTTGTAACAATGTGGGTTCAAGCTGATATTTTAGCTTAGTTCTCTTTGAGCAAGGCGTAAACAAATGGAGTTCCGATCGATAAAACGCACAGTGAGCCTTCCTACAAGTACACTTCGAACTTTGAAAACCAGTCACATGGCTATATACAGGCGAAAACCACAAAAGAACCTAAAGGACAATTTA